ATCCGGCCGTGCACACCGTGACTGCTGTTGCTGGTCTTCTTGCAATGCAATATCGTGCCATTGAAAGAGCACCGTTGGCGCCATGCGCTTGGCTTGTGTTGCTTCACTGTCACTCTCTTCATCGCTGTTGCGCACCACGCTGACCCGGCAGTAAATGACCACCTGCAGCTCGTGTCTGGTTGTCTGTAGTGTGTGTGTGTATGTGAGTGTGAGTGCGTGTGTTTTGGGCATGTTGGCGCGTGACGTGTGAAAGATGTGAGCAAGCAAGGTACAGGGGCAGGGGAAGGAAGGTGCGTACACATAGAAGTGTACACAGACACACACACACACACACACATACACACACAGACAGAAGCATGCACACGCAACAGTGTACGCACGCACACGCACACATACAGACAGAAGCATGCACACACAACAGCATGCACGCGCGCACACACACACACACGCACACACACACACACGCACACAGACAGAAGCATGCACACACACACATACACACACACAGAAGCATGCGCACGCAACAGTGTACACACACTCACGTTGATAACGCCGTCAAAGTTCAAGTCTGTGTTGATCAGGGCTTCTCCCGCAAAGGACAACACTTGTTGTGTAAAGGAATCATCGCTGTCTGCGGTGAGGGACAAGGACGGTAAGCACCCGTCCTTCTTCTGCAGCTGGTCCTCGTCTGTCTTGATTAAAATCCTGCACAGTAAGTACACACACACACACACACACACACACACACACACACACACACACACACACACACACACACACACACACACACACACACACGCGCACAGGAGGAAACAGGGGTGGGGGGAGTGGGATCGTGAACGAACGAACGCATGCACACAGTGTGCTCGCATTCACATCCACATACAGTTTGCACGAGACACAGACAAGATGGACACACAACCACGCACAGACAGACAGGTAGACAGACAGGTAGCCAGACAGATAGACAGACACACGAACAGGCACACAACCACGCAGTGCACGTAAGGCACGAGTGTCTGGTCTGACCGTGAGGGGGAGTCCTGGCGAGGCTGATCCACGATCAGCACAACCGCGTGAAGCTGTGGCATCTTCGCTGCGGGCTATTGAGCGGTCTGGTCTTTGATGTTGAGTGTGAAACGACGACTACTCCTACGATGGATTTAGGAGCTACTGGTGGAACGAGGACCTCGCAGTCGTCGTCGTCAAAAGCCTGTTGCTGGCTGTGATGGCTGCTGGAACGATCTGAGTGGAGAAGCGATTGAAACAAGAACCATCACAGTCGTCGTCATCAAAGCGCAACAAAAAAAAAGGGCCTGGAGGGATTCGAACCCCCGATCTTCGGTTTACAAGACCGACGCCTTGCCAGCTTGGCCACAGACCCCAAGGGATTGCTCACGTACCGGGGGTGGCTGCCGCGAACTTTTCAAATGCCTTTGGTGTGCGTGCGTGTGTGTTTCATGTGTGTGTGTGTGAGTGAGTGAGTGAGTGAGCGAGTGAGTGAGTGTGCTGAGTGTGTGTGTGTGTGAGTGAGTGAGTGTGTGTGTGTGTGAGTGAGTGAGTGAGTGAGCGAGTGAGTGAGTGTGCTGTGTGTGAGAGAGAGAGAGAGTGAGTGAGTGTGCTGTGTGAGTGAGTGAGTGAGCTGTGTGAGTGAGTGAGTGAGCTGTGTGTGTGTGTGCTGTGTGAGTGAGTGAGTGTGTGCTGTGTGCTGTGTGTGTGTGTGTGCTGTGTGAGTGAGTGAGTGTGTGCTGTGTGAGTGAGTGTGTGTGTGTGTGTGTGTGTGTGAGTGTTTGTGTGTGTGCTGTGTGTGTGTGTGTGCTGTGTGTGTGTGTGTGTGCTGTGTGTGTGTGTGCACTCTCTCTAGCTCTCTCTCTCTCACTCACCCTATCTCCTTCCCCAACTGCTGCCCCCCTCTGCTGCCCCCCTCTCTGCCTCACATACGCTTTGCACGATAGTTGAAACTGTACTTGGAACCATGCGCGGGCCGTCATGTAGTAACGCAAACGCCCGCAAACGCCCGCAAACGCCCGCAAACGCCCGCAAACGCCCGCAAACGCCCGCAAACGCCCGCAAACGTCCGCAAACGCCCGCAAACGCCCGAAACGCCACCACCTACCCAACAAACAAACAAACATACAGGGCTTAGTGGTCTGGTATGGCAGCCCAAGCTCCGCTGTCGCCACCGTCGTCGCCGATGCTGCCAAACAGCAGGCTGCGCAACGTTTCATCCAATCCCGCTTCCCTCACATGCTCACCACTGTCGTCGCCCACACCGTTGCTTGCACTACGCCGGGCCTGCGCGAGCGCCACTGCGTCCGGGTGAGCGAACACGACCTGGAACACGGTCCGCTCCCGTGTGCACGTGTTGTTCACGCTGTGCAGGAAGCTGTCGTCAAAGAACAGCACCTGCCCCGTCGCCCACGACCGCACCTCGTCGCCAACCTTGAGAAACGCACAGGGCACCGTGCCTTCCTTCCCCTCACCACCACCACTGCCCACACCATCCACGCCCCTTGCTTCACCACCGTCACCGTCCTCACCACCACCCTCTTCACGTGTTGGCACGTCCAGCCCGAGGTGCAGCTTCAGTTGGCCGTTGGTCATGCCGTAGTGTGGCTTGAGCACGGCACGGGGTCCAAGTGCGCTGTACCCAACGCGGAGCACATGCAGCCCCGTCTCATTGCGCAACGTGTTCAGGAGCCTGCAGGCAACGGGCGTGTCGCGGCTGCAATTGCTACCAGAGGCGTGCGGGCGCCAGTATGCCGTCGACTCATACCGCATCCACGTGCCACTGGGGATGGTTGCGTCGTGGATGCACTCCCGTTCCGGCAGAAGCAGGCCACGCTCCTTGATGCCTTCAAACTCCCGCTTGAGCGCGTCCGTATGCTCGCGCAGCAGCTGCGCCGCCCGCTGAACGCCACGGTGCTCGGAGGGGTCATGCCATGGCGCCGTCGCTATCGAAGATGACGACGACGACGACGACGACGACGACGATGGCTGTTGTGGCTCCGACACCAGTTCTGGAATGAACGTTCGCGGCAGCTGCTGGACGCTGGCCCATGGGCCGTGGCCGGTGAGGAGTTGGCCCAGCGAGCGGAGGCGCGACAGCATGGCGTCACGAACACTTGTCGGCATGTTTGGCAGGTCCGCCGTTCGCTGCAGAAGGTCGTAGTGTTGCTGCATGACGCGCAGCGTCGGTCGCACACCTGGCTGCTTCAGCGCCTCCTCGAATAGCATCAGGCTTGTCGGCAGATCACCTTTGCACTCGTAGATCGTGGACTGCAGCTGCAGCAGCACTGCCCTCGCCTCCGACGGCAGCACGCTCACGTCTTGCTGCTGCTGCTGCTGTTGCTGCTGTTGTTGTTGGGGATACTGCTGCAGGGTGCTTTCCAAGACGCCAAGCGCATCGTCATACTCAAAGTTCAGGTACATGTCCGTGGCCAACGCTGCCGCCTGCGCAACGCGCTCCAGGGCCGTGTTGACCACAGGGTCGTCGGCGTGCTTCTGCGGCTGCTTCTGCTGTTGCTGCAAGTGGTCCAGGGCCTGCAGGCCCTTGAGGCGCAGCTTGATGGCATGCGGGTACATTTTCATGTGCGAGTACACGTCCGCTGCGCGAGAGAATAGCAGAAACCGCTCCTCGCTGTGCTGGAGGCTGCATGCCGCAGGCCCTGGGCCAGACAGGACCGCGTTTGCCAGGTTCAGTGCCCGAAACGGCTTGCTGTCCTTGAAAGCAACAGCTCCAGCCATGTCCTGCAGCGCCTGCTCACAATCTACAGGAACGCTGGCGCTGCTGTTGCCCGAAAAGGGCCACCATGACGGCCACACCAGCAGCCATGCCAACCCCAGCACCACCACCGCAGCAGCCACGCCAACCAAACCACCCCCACCACCCCCACCACCCTTCTTCCTTGTCTTCTTCTGCCTGCTCCGCTTCTTCTGCTGCTGTTTGCTCATCGTTTGCGATTTGTGAACATAGGAGCAAAGTTTCTTTCGACCCACGTGTGCACCACCACACCACAGCACAGAACACACACGCACACAACCACACACGCACACAAGCACACACACATACACACACAAGCACAACAGACAGGGATGGCCAGGACAAAGGGCAAGAAGGGCAAGCGCACCGCACAGGCGGCTGCAGGCGCTGAAGAGAAGAAGGAAAAGATCCAACAGCAGCAAGCAGTGGAGGAGGCCACCGTCGCATCGGCAGCCGCTGGATCCGCCAAGCGAGCCAAGAAGACAACCACAGCCAACAAGACAAAGCAGGCCAAGAAGAAGGCGACAGCAACAGCAACAACAGCAACAACAGCAACAGCAACAACAGCAACAGCTACGGAGAACGGCAGCCCTGCTCAGGAGATTGCCGCTGTTGAGGACAGCGGCGCGCAGCCTGCTGCGAAGAAGGCGAAGACGCAGGTGAAGAACAACAACAACAACAACAAGAAGAGCGCCAAGGGGAACACCCCAGCCACCAAGCACAAGCAGGCACAAGGCAAGAAAGCGCAGCAGACCAAGGCTGCCAAGAAGCAGACAAAGCAGCAAAAGGACAAGAACAATACAAAGGATGAGATCATCAAGCTGAAGATCAAGAAGACCAAGGTAATGAACAACGAAAAGCGTCTCATGCCTGCCTCTGTGTGTGCGTTTGTGTGTGTGCGTGCGTTTGTGTGTGTGTGTGTGTTTGTATGTATGTATGTGTGTTTGTTTGCGTGCGTGTGTGTGTGCGTGTGTGTGTGTGTGTGTGTGTGTGTGTGTGTGTGTGTGTGTGTTTGTGTGTGTGTGTTTGTGTTTGCGTCTGTCACCCCCCCCCCCAAATCTGCGTGTGTAATGGCCCTCCCTCTACGTGCAGTGTCACCCACTGATGCTACAACTGATTTTTCCACTCTTTCAATCATGCTGACAGAAGAGCAAGGGCAACACAGTGCGCCCCACCCCTCCAAACCGGGCCGTTGTCTACTTGAGCCACATCCCCTATGGCTTCTTTGAGCCGCAAATGAACAAGTTCTTCTCCCAGTTTGGTGCGGTCACCCGCCTCCGTCTCTCCATCTCGCCAAAGGTGCGTGGCGTGTTCGCTCCCGCTTGCAGCACATCCGTTTGCTCTGCTGCATTGGCGGTTCGCATGCACTCGTGTTTGCTGGTTTGTGCCTTTGTCCTGCAGGCGCATTCACACCCATGCTCTCTCACCCTGCACTCGCACATACTCGTTCTCTTGCTCATGAACACGACTTCTCGTTGCTGTCGTGCACACGTCTGTGTTTTCACGTCAACAGTCGGGTCGCTCGCGCGGTTATGCGTTTATTGAGTTTGAGAACGCCGAGGTGGCGAACATTGTCGCTCAGACCATGAACAACTACCTCCTCTTCAACCGCGTCCTCAAATGTGAGTTTGGTGAATGCGGGATGGAGAGCGCCGCTGCGACGCGTTCAGAACAAGTACACACACACACACACACACACACACACACACACACACACACACACACACACACACACACACACAGACAGACATCGGCTCGCGCTGTCTCACCACCACCACCACCACCACCACTTCCCTCCTTCGCTTCGTTGCTTCTGCAGGTCGGGTGGTGCCTCCGGAGAAGGTGCACGACCAGCTGTTCCGCAGCCCGCGTCGCGTCGATATGGCCAGGGTGCAGCGCAGCAAGCACAACAAGGTCTGTTGCCGCAATGGGCACTGGATGCATGCGGATAGTATCGTGTGTGCGTGTGCGTGCGTGTGTGTTTGTGCGTGTGTGTGTGTGCGTGTGTGTGTGCGTTTTTGTGTGTGAGATTTTTATGTGCACACTTGCTGCTCCTCACTGCAAACACTGTTACGCCACAATGCCCACGTGCAGGTGCGGGTGCCCTCGGAGTACGCGGCCATGGCCAAGCGCATGCGCGCCAAGGGGAAGAAGCTGCGCCAGGTGCTCGCCGCGTATGGGGTCAAGTACGACATTGACGCCGTCACTGTCAAGGCACAGGCCGCCGCGCCAAAGGTGCGGCACCAGGGCGAAGGGGGTGGGAGGGATGTGTTTGTTTGTTTGTTTGTTTGTTTGTTTGTTTGTTTGTTTGTTTGTTTGTTTGTTTGTTTGTTTGTTTGTTTGTTTGTTTGTTTGTTTGTTTGTTTGTTTGTTTGTTTGTTTGTTTGTTTGTTTGTTTTGGGTGTGTGTGCGTGCGTATGCGTTCACGTGTGTTGGGGGATTGTGCTTTGTGCGTGTGCACGCGTGTGGGTGTGAGTGCGTCAGCTCCTTGTGCCTTCTCCCGTACGACACTGACTGTGTGTGCTGCGGCCATATGTTTGTGCGTGTGTGCGTGCGTGCAGACCTCTGAAACAGCCGCTGTGAAGGAGGGCAAGAAGGCGACAAAGCAGAAGACCAAGGGAGAGGGGAAGAAGGAGAGCAAGAAGCAAGCCACGCAGCAGAGCGAGGAACACAAGGCGAACGAGACGAAGAAGCAGGAGGGCAAGTCGGCAGCAGCAACGCCAGCAGCGACCAAGAGCCGCAAGAATAACGCACAGGCGGACAAGGCCGTGAAGGTGATGAAGGAGGTGAACACCCCAATCAAGGCAGCCAAGAATGCCAACAAGACCCCAGCCAAGACACCTGCCAAGGCAGCTAAGACCCCAGCCAAGGCAGCTAAGACCCCAGCCAAGACACCTGCCAAGACCCCGGCCAAGAATGCCAACAAGACACCTGCCAAGGCAGCCAAGACACCTGCCAAGAACCCAGCCAAGACACCTGCCAAGACCCCAGCCAAGACCCCGGCCAAGAATGCCAACAAGACACCTGCCAAGGCAGCCAAGACACCTGCCAAGAACCCAGCCAAGACACCTGCCAAGACACCTGCCAAGACCCCGGCCAAGAATGCCAACAAGACTCCTGCCAAGGCAGCCAAGACACCTGCCAAGACCCCGGCCAAGACCCCCGCCAAGGCAGCCAAGACACCTGCCAAGACCCCGGCCAAGACCCCCGCCAAGGCAGCCAAGACCCCCGCCAAGACCCCGGCCAAGGCAGCCAAGACACCTGCCAAGACCCCAGCCAAGAATGCCAACAAGACACCTGCCAAGACCCCGGCCAAGACCCCCGCCAAGGCAGCCAAGACACCTGCCAAGACCCCGGCCAAGACCCCCGCCAAGGCAGCCAAGACCCTCGCCAAGACACCCGCCAAGGCAGCCAAGACCCCCGCCAAGAAGGCAAAGAAGACGCCAAAGAAGGCACTGTAACCGTTGAATGCGTACGTATACGTGTGTGCGTGTGTCGTTTTGTGTGTTGCTGTCCAATTGCATTGTCGTTGTTGTTTTCATTGAGATCAAAGTACAAGGTGCAAATAGGAGAAGCATTCGTGGTGTGTTGTTGTGGCAGGCAACGACAGAAACACAGACACACACAGACACACAGACACACACACACAGACACACACACAGACACACACACAGACACACACAGACACACACAGACACACACAGACACACACACACACACACACACACACACGGCTGCGTTGGTTGATTACTGGATGGTCTTTGAGGTGTTGGCTGTGTGATCCTTGATTGTCGTCTTGTGGTCTTCGGGGCGGGCAGCAACCTCTTCAGGTGGTGGCGCGAACATGCACATGTGAGGTGGATGTGAGAAAATGCTCATAGAAGCAGGAGACAGTCACACAACGCACACACACGCATGTACACACACACACACACACACACTTTCACACACACTTTCACACACACACACATACACACACACACACCTGCAATGGTGATGATGGTTCGTCGGTGCACCTGCACGAGCGTTTGGATGTGTCAACGGCACGAATGTCAGCGACAAAAGAAAGCACATAGTGGGTAACGCAACAATGGTCACACCCGCCAAACGCAGCAGGACACCCGCCAAACGCAGCAGCAGATCACGCAGATGTGGGCGCGACGAACCTTCTTTCTCTCGCCCTTGAGCCCAATGTAGTGGATCTTGGTGGTGTCGCCGCCAAACGTGTCGCTGAAGAAGAGAGTGAGGCTGTGCAGGCCCTGGAACTTTGTGATGCGCGTCTCGTACTCCTGCTCCCCGTCGGCGTCCTCAACCAAGTCCCACTCCTGCACGGGCTCGAGGTCTTCCACCTGCAGCGTAAACATGCAGGGGTGTGGGCACGCGAGTAAGTGAGTGAGTGAGTGTGTGAGTGAGTGAGTGAGTGAGTGAGTGAGTGAGTGAGTGAGTGAGTAACTGAGTGTGTGTGAGTGAGTGAGTGAGTGAGTGAGTGAGTGAGTGAGTGAATTGAACAGCGGTGTTGCTCACGCGCTTCGCGTGCGGATACGGTCACAGCTAGACAGTGGAAGTAAACAAGTGAGGATGCTGCGCTTACATGGTATTGTACTCACGTTGTCAAAGTCAATGTCGTCTCTGTTGATGAATGCGGCAACGTGTGACGGGTGGCGCGGCCCGGGCTCGCCCATGATGCAGATGGACTTGATCTTCACGTCATCCGTGAATCTGACGGCGTTCAGTGAGGAGAAGACGCAAGTGTGTGTGTGTGTGTGAGCGTGAGTGTGTGTGTATCAGTGTGTGTGAGCGCATGGGAGAGTGTGGGAGAGCGCACGCGAGTGTGTGCTGTGCACGGCTCCAGCTGCTGCGACTTACGGGATGTGGATGATCAGCTGCTCGTCCGCGTCGCTCTCCACGTACTGCGAGCACAGACACACCATAGAGGCAAGTCATGGACAACAATGAACGTGAGTGTACGTGTATGTGAGTATACGTGCATGTGAGTGCGTGTGTGCGTGTGTACTTGTGCGCATGTGTGTGTGTATGCATATGCGTGTGTGTGTGTGTGTGCGTGTGAACCGCGGCATGGGCACATCACACGACTTGCTCGCTTGCCTTATCTCGCAGTTGCTTCTCGTGCAGTGGTCTGAACACGTTCTGCGCAGACCCTTCCACAGCTTCATTGAACCCAACAACCTTGAGGCGCGAGTGTGCAAGCGTGTGACCGCCGGGGAGTGGAGTCGTGTTGCAGAAGCGGAAGGATATAAGTATGCGTGTTGATGTATGCACAGGCAGAGAGTGGCAGGCAGAGAGTGGCAGGCAGAGAGTGGCAGGCAGAGAGTGGCAGGCAGGGAGTGGCAGGCAGGGAGTGGCAGGCAGACAGACAGACGGACATACAGACACATCGGCACATTCCACACACAGACACAGACACAGACACAGACACAGACACAGACACACACCCACCCACACACTCACACACCCACACACCCACCCACCCACACACACACACACACACACACACACACACACACACACACACACACACACACACACACACACACACACACACACACACACACACACACACCTTTGTCAAGTCGATGCTGTCGTAGAGAGACGACTGCACGCCTCGCTCTGGCTCATCATGGTCGTGATCGTGGCCGTGGTGGCCGTGGTGGTCGTGCCCCCCGTGCTCCTCATGTTCCTCTCGACACGACATTGCCTGCGACGTCTTCTTCCTCCTGTTCCTTCTGCGTTGCGCACTGTTGTTTTTATGCGCGTTGTTGCTTCACCTTCCAGACTCCTATTTGCTTGCTTCGTTTGCTTCGTTCAATGTCTCAGCACACACACACACACACACACACACACACACACACACATCACATCGCATCACATCACATTACAATCACACAGTGCGCAACACGAGCATGCGACGTAACACAGGACGTTACAAAGGCGTCATCTCCTCATGGTCAAGACGACGCGGTGGCAGCGGCGACGACTGCCTTGCGAAGGGCGTTGACGGGGTGCTTTGGTGCTGTCATGTACAGCGTCTGCTGCAGGAACGCGTGGAAGCGAGACGCACTGCGCTGCTGGATGCTCTCGTCGCTCGCAACCGCAGCGACCATCGACCGAACACCAGCAGCATACTCTGCAACCCCAGATGACATGGTGCGGTGTGGTGATGTGACAGAGGTACACGAGAGTACAGTACACGCCACACCACACCACACCACACCACACCACACATCACATCACATCACAACACACCACACATCACATCACCACACACACACCACACACACACATACACACACATCACCACACACCACAACAGTCGCATACAAGACCACAACACTCCCCGCCCCACGTTGGTACGCACCCTGTGCGATGCAGTGCTGCAGAACCTTCCATGCAGGCAGCAGACGGCTGTCCTCAATCCTCTCTTCAAGCGCCCGCATCTTCCCGCGCCCGGCACACACGTACTCGGGCTTGAGCAAGCCAAGGCCAACAAGCACGCTATTGATGAAAGCGCTCGCGTTGTGCTGCAGCACAAACCGCATAAACGCGTCGACATACTCGGCAGCGGCAGGCGTCACCTTCCCGTCCGTCGTGTCGCACAGCTGGACGACGACAGATGAGGAAGCAAGAACGATAAGGGAAACGGTGTTTGGGTCGGTGGGCAGTTTGGTCAAGGGCGTGTGCAGCCGTGGAGGACCAGATCGCAACACAAAGAAAACAAAACCCTCCAGCACACACACACACACACACACACACACACGCACGCACACACACACACACACACACACACACACACACACACGCACACACACACACACACACACACACACACACACACACCTCGAAGAAGAGCGTGCTGAGGGCCGTGGGCTGCACGAGATACGGCTCCAGCGCCATGCGCACAAAGGCGGCCTGATTCGCCCGACACGGGTGAGAAGTGGGTAGATGCCGGTGGTTGCGCACACATGCACACAGGCGAACAGACATGCATCGTCAGACGGACAGGCAGACAGACACATGGGCAGAGAGGCAGGCAGACAGATAGACAGACAGGCAGGCAGACAGACAGACAACCAAACCAACGGCAGACCTTGTTGTCTGACGTCTTGAGTGTGGGGATGATGTTGTGAAGCGGGATAGGCGCTGTTGTTCCGTAGACGGAGGCGGCGGTGGCGGTGGAGGAGAGAGACATTGAGGCAACAGCCCGGTCCACTTCCTCCTCCTCATTGTCAGGCTGTGCTTGTGCTGCCGCAAGTGCTGCGGCTATCGTGGGCGACGAGATGGTGAAAAATGTGAGGATGAGGGTGAGGGTAAGCATGATAGAAGACTGAACCCACACGCGTTGATACTGAGTTCCAGACAATGATACACACACACACACACACACACACACACACACACACACACACACACACACACACACCTGCTGGGCGGGTCGGCACTGGAGAGAGGTCTGGGATGACTTCATCGTCGTAGTCCTCGTCGTCATCATCTTCCGCCTCCTCTGCCTCAGATTCAATGTCCATATCCTCAGGCATCACGCTGATGGTGATGGTGATGGTGGGGTGGGGGTGGTGAATGAGGTGAAGAGGAAATGGCACATGTGCATTCACGGGTCCACAGGCACATGGGCATCGAGAACGCGGAGCCTCACCCTGGGAACATGTCTTCCAGCTGCGCGTATCCGTTTTCGCCAAACTCATTTCCTTGCACATCAAGCAGCTCTGTTGCATGCATGCACGCATGTATTTGGTGGATGGATGGCGTGGAAATAGGGGTGAGATGGGTGACGGAATGCTCATTGACGTGGAAGCGAAATTGCTTGAGCAACCACGAAGCACGTTTCTCTGCACACACACACACACACACACACACACACACGCACACGCACACACACACACAAAGCATGCTGCAGCGTGAGATAAACGCACCAAACGTCTTGCCGTTGAGCTTGGTCAGGATCCTTGTAAGCACCTGCACACACACACACACATACACATACACATGCACAGAGGCATACACACAAGTGGCGGTTAGGATGCATCGTCAACGCGGTCGGCACACACATCAACATTTGCAGTGTCCACATCCTGCACAAGACTCCACCTTCTTGCTCATTTCGTTGTATGCGAGGTTGAGAACGCTGATCGGCGTGTCTGTGTGCGCAGGGAAGCGACGGAGGAAAGGAAAACGTCATACACGTGCAAACATGACAGGGCACACTGTGAGGAGGAGGTGACACATTTGACGGGCGCACCACAGATGCGCAAACAAGCACTGACACACACACACACACACTCACACGCACGCACACACACGCACAGACAAAGACACACACGCACGCACGCACACAGACACAGACAGACACAGACACACACACTCGTTACGCACGTGCAAGGCTGTCGACGATGGCCAGGCCAGCGCGGTCCTGCAGACCCGTGTCGCTGGAGATGAACACGCGCAGGCGCTTGAGGTGACGGAGGGCTTTTGCGAGGGCGAGGCCTGCCCGCGTCTTGAGGTGGTTGTCTGACACTTCAAGCACCTCCAAGTTGGGGCACTTGGCCACGGCCTGTGCAAAGTCAACCAGGCCCTCCGTGAAGATGCCGTTGTTGTTGATGCGGATCTCGCGCAGGGTACGGATACGCTGGCGGCATTGGCGGTGGTGAGGTGAAGTTGTGGCGGTGTAGAGTGGTGTATAAAGGACACGTGAGAAGAGCAGAGGTCGATAAGAGACAATGTGGAGGTGAGCAACCACAGCGCAATCCGATACAAGCAGATACACACACATACACACACACACACACGTGCGCGCTCACACACAAACACACACACGTGCGCGCTCACACAAACGCACACACACACACACTCACAGCAAATGCCTTGCTGACTTCCCGGCAGCCCGGGATTTCAAGGCGGCTGCGGCCAAGAACGAACTTCTCCAGGCAATACGGCTGGCCCAACTGCACGCCACGTGCATGTGCCGCCTGCAGCGCCTTGCCAATGGTCTGTCATGGAAGGGGGAGGGCAGCACAACACACACACACACACACACACGAGGGTGAGGAATACAATGTAGGACTGCTCCACAGCGCCAACTTCCCGCTATCATGCATGCAGGGAGAGTAAGAGACGTGCAGGCGGTCAAATCATAGCACTCCTCCATTGTACCTCTCCGCCTGCCGGGCCAACACCGGTGTTGTTGAGGTAGAGTTCCTTGAGGGTGAGGCACTGCGACAGTAGCGGCGCAATGTTCTCCGCGCCGCTCGGGTTGACGGCATTGTCACTGAACATCAGAGACACAATCCGTTACGAGACGTTGAAGGAGGAGCAAGGAGAAACAACAGTTACTGTCAACGCCAGCAACGCACGCATACAGCATAGACCACAACATTGACACACATATGGGATTCCACACAGATACAGAGGCGCATTCACAAACGCACACACAAACACACACACACACACACAAACCATCCTCACACACACACACACTAACATTCACACGCACTCACAAAGCATCCTAACACACGCATATACACACCTGAAGTCGAGGACTGTGAGGTTGTCAAAGTTGAGAAACGCCTCTGCAAAGAACTTAAGGGACGGGTGGATGTCCGGGATCTTGCGGCCCACGAACATGTCGTTGAAGAGGGCTCGCTCAATGGTGGTCTTTGAGCTGAGCACGTGAGCCAAGGCTTGGCAGAAGGGCTTTGAGTAGCTGTTGCCTTCCATGGACACGGTCTTGAGGTCATCACGGGCACGGATGGCCTCAAGGATGGGCTCACCAGGCACCGTCTGCTGCTTGGCAGTGGCGTCTGTCGCCGGCACCTCAATCACGGGGCCTTTACCGGCCACGGGGCCCTTGCTGTCATCGGAGGCGGCCGGTGTGAGATAGAACGGCTTTGTCAGCTCAACCCGCTTCCCGTTGACGTCTGGCTTGTAGGCCCCAGCCTCCTTCACCCACTCCACCCTGTCCTTCAGGTCCTGTCGCTCCATGGTGAGGGTGGTGCACTGCAGTGTGGTCCGGCACAGCTTGTCTCCTTTGTTGGCTGGAGAGATTTGCAACCGACAAAAAAAAGTACACCAACGTGCAGCGTGGGAACCGACTGAATTCAGTTGTGTAGTGAAAAGCGACACCATGAAAGATAGTATCACAGCGCCCTCACACACACACAGTGCGTGCATCATCATTCTTCTCCACACACGCAACACCCACAACAACAACCAACAACCCACGACCACCTTCCTTCTTGCCTTGCTTGCTTGTGTTGCCTCGCTTGTTGTTGTCGTGTTGCCATGTTTGGTGTTCAGCGAGTTGCGAGCGTGCGTGCCGCCGCTGCCGTTGCTGTGCGCGGGGCACGCCTGGCACAGGCTGCTGCTGCTGTTTCCGTGCGGCATGCCAGCACCGGCGCGGTGCAGGTGTGCGAGACGGCTGAGGAGGCCATTGCTGGCGTGCAGGACGGCTCCAAGCTCCTGGTCGGCGGTGCGTCCACTGTGCACTGTTGCGTGCACGCTTGTGTGTATGTGTGTGTGTGTGTGTGCACGCTTGTGTGTGTGTGTGTGTGTGTGTGTGTGTGTGTGTGTGTGCACGCTTGTGCGTGTGTGTGTGTGCACACGCTTGTGTGTGTGTGTGTGTGCACGCTTGTGTGTGTGCACGCTTGTGTGTGTGCACGCTTGTGTGTGTGTGTGTGTGTTTGCCTGCCCCTTCCACCCTTCGCTCTCTCTCTCTCTCTGTCTATTGGAATATGTAGCACACGTCCTCACAACCCGCCCCTCACTTGTGCTGCTTTGCCCAGGCTTTGGTCTTTGCGGTATCCCCGAGAACCTCATTGCTGCCCTGCAGAAGAGCGGCGCAAAGAACCTTACCTGCGTCAGCAACAACGCTGGGTCAGTTGGGAGAGACAAAAGAGAGCACTGGGAGAGAGAGAGAGTGTGTGTGTGTGTGTGTGCGTGTGCGTGTGCGTGTGTGTGTCTGCGTCTGTGTCCATGTGTGTGTGTGTGTGACTGCATGTCTGTATGTTTGTGTGTCTGGGTGCGCGAATGTGGACACTTGTTGTATGTTGTGAGACAAAACACACAACGCCCATCGTGTAGCAGAAGCCGTGCTCATGAAACTGCCCACCACCTCCACTGACCACGGCCATGTACTCACACGCTCGCGCGCACGCACTCCCTCCGCCTTTCGTTTGCTGTTGGCGTTTTCCAGTGTGGACGACTTTGGCCTCGGCCTTCTCCTGAAGAACAAGCAGGTCAAGCGCATGATCTCGTCGTATGTCGGCGAGAACAAGGAGTTTGAGCGGCAGTACATTGGCGGCGAGCTCGAGGTCGAGCTTACACCGCAGGTGCGTCGTTGACTTGATCATGGCTTCGTCTGCAAGCATGTGAACCCTGTCGTTGTCGGCGCAACAAGTTCATCGACAACACACACACACACACACACACACACACACACACACACACACACACACACACACACACACACACACACACACACACACACACGACGGCATATATCACCCTCATTCCTTGTTTCTCCAACTCCCCCCGCCTTCCATCCATCCACCCTCCTAACACGCTCAGGGCACGCTTGCCGAGCGCATTCGCGCGGGCGGCGCGGGCATCCCGGCGTTCTTCACCCCCACCGGATATGGGACAATCATCCACGAGGGTGGTGCGCCCATCAAGTACAAGGCCGACGGCAGCGGCGATATTGAGATCCCCAGCAAACCCCGCGAGAGCCGCGAGTTTAACGGTGTGGAAGTTTGCCTTGCTTGTCTCGTTTGTGAGCGTGAGCGTGTGCATGTGTGTGTGTGTGCATGTGCATGTGTGTGCATGTGTGTGTGAGTGTGTGTGTGTGAAAAAATGGTTACATGCGTTCCCTCCCGCCATCGGGTTTGTTCGCTCTGTGTCTACCATCCCCCCCCCCTAATTCAATGACCTCACATCTCCCCTCCCCCTCCCTGCTGCTGCTTGCGTGTGCCAGGCGTCCCGTACATCATGGAGGAGGCGATTACCGGCGACTTTGCTCTCGTTCGCGTAAGTCGTGGACAGCTGTGCACTGTGTGTTTGTACACGTGCTGTTGTGTTCTTCCAACAAACCCCAGCCAACGCTGACCACCTCTTGTTCACACACACACACTCACACACACACACACACACACACACACACACACACACACACACACACACACACACACACACACACACACACACACACACACAATGCGCGCGTGTGCGTGTGTGCAGGCGTGGAAGGCGGACACGGCGGGCAACCTGGTGTTCCGCAAGACGGCGCGCAACTTCAACGCGGCCATGGCCCGGGCAGCAAAGGTGACGGTCGCTGAGGTGGAGGAGATTGTTCCTGTTGGCGAGCTCGACCCAGATTGCATCCACGTGCCCAGGTCCGTACACACGCACTCACACACACACACACACACACACACATACACACACACACACATACACACACACACACACAAGCACTATTGTGCATGAAGCATTGTCTGCTGTGGTGAGCTCTGGGTGAGCGCCGGTTTGCAGCGTGCTCTGTGCATTGACACATCGTTTGTGCTGTGAGTTGTGTGGTCTCATCTTACGTGTCACATGTTACATGCGTGCAGCGTGTATGTGAAACGCGTGTTTAAGGCAGACCACATGGAGAAGCGCATCGAGGTGCGTGGCCATATTTGTGCTTGCAAGCACGAAAGGAGAACAATTTGAGGAGAATGTCCCCCCCCCCCTCACACACACACACACACACACACACACACACACACACACACACACACACACACACACACACACACACACACACACACACATTCTCTCGGACTCACCGAATTCATCAACCCTCACCCTCGCCACCACCACCATCATCATACCCCCACCGCCACCAACAACAATGCAGCGGCTGACGCTTGCCAAGGATGGCGACCACGCCCCGCCTGCGCCCGGCGCGCCCGCCGCCAAGCGCGAGCTCATCATCCGTCGTGCTGCCAAGGAGTTCAAGGTGCGCTGGTGATGGTGGTGACGCATGCTGCCTGCAAGCAATACTATCGTCATCCTCCTGTTGTTCGCTGTGCTTTTGTAACCCCCTCCCCCGTTGATAAACCTACGCAGCCGTCTCATGCCTGTACACGCGTGTGCTCGCCTGTGACTGGTGTAGGACGGCATGTTTGTGAACCTTGGTATTGGTATGCCGATGCTTGCATCCAACTTCATCCCAGAGGGTATGAACGTCTCCCTCCAGTCTGAGAACGGCGTCCTCGGCCTCGTACGTCCACAAACCAACGAGACGTGGTGGCGGTGGCGGCGGTGGTGGTGGTGGTGGTGTGTCTGTGTGTGTACCTGTCTGTGTGTATCTGTGTGTGTGTGTGTGTGTGTTGTGCATGTGTATGAATAGGATGAGTGGAAGGACGATGTGATCGTTTGGCTTGAAATCTTTTGTCGTCGTATCGCTTGCTCCCTTCACGCTCACCGTATACTGCTTGTGTTGCGCGCACATGGTGTTGCGGGGGCGTCACTAGGGCCCATTCCCCAAGAAGGGCGAGGAAGACCCAGACCTGATCAACGCAGGTGTGTGTATGTGAGTGTGAGAGTGTGTGAGTGTGAGGGTGTGTGAGTGTGCGAGTGAGTGAGTGTGTGTGTGTGTGTGTGTGTACGTTCCCTTGTCTCATGCTTCCCCTTGCGTCCTCATCCTCGTCTCACCATATCAACTCCAACTCTCACATCATCACCGCCATCAATACCACCAGGCAAGGAGACGGTCAAGGTTCTGCCCGGGTCGTCGTTCTTTGGGTCTGACGACTCGTTTGCGATGATCCGCGGTGGGCACATCCACCTCACCATCCTCGGCGCAATGCAGGTCTCCCAGTACGGCGACCTCGCAAACTTCATGATCCCGGTCCGGCCTCCTGTTTGCTGTTGTATTGTGCTGTGTGTCCAGTTTGTTGAGGTGTAATTGTGGCTGTGTTGCTGTGTTGTGTGTGTGTGTGATTGAGAGAGAGAAAGAGAGAGAGAGAGAGAGAGAGAGAGAGAGAGAGAGAGAGTGTGTGTGTGTGTGCGTGTGTGTGCTGTGTGTGCTGTGTTTGTTTGTTTGTGTCGTGTGTCGCTTTGTAAGTGCGCAGTTGCTGTTCCGCGGCAACCACCACAACACCAACTCAACCTTTCCTTCCACCTCAATGCTCACCACTCCTTGTGTCATCTGTCACCACCCTGCCGCCCCACATGCGCAGGGCAAGATGGTCAAGGGCATGGGCGGTGCCATGGATCTCGTGTCTGCCCCCGGCTCTCGTGTCGTCATCACCATGGAGCACTGCGCCAAGGTTTGCTGCCTCCTTCTATTGTGCATTGCCACGCTCGCTCTTGTCAACGGCTTCGCCTCAGTCTGCATTTGATTGCACGGCGTCACAGCTTGCCCCGACTTCTTAATCCGCATCACCTCTTCACGCCCATCAGTCAATCAATCCCTTTCTTCTTGATGCACTATGCAATGTACACACCACCTCACACCATCCACAGAGCGGCGCGCACAAGATCCTCGAGAACTGCACGCTGCCGCTGACGGGCCCGAAGTGCGTCGACCGCATCATCACAGAGATGGTTCGTTCCGTGGCCGTGCCTTGTCGTTCTCGATCACGTGTCTTGCAGCATGCTTTCCATGCTCTTCCCCCCCCCCCCGGCTTTCGTCCTCTTCTTTCTCACCACCACCACCACCACCACCACCACCACGACCACATGGTGCTGCGTGTGAGCAGGGTGTGTTTGACGTGTCCGCCGAGACCGGCCTCACCCTCATCGAGATTGCAGATGGCGTCTCCGTCGACGACGTCAAGGTGACTACGCAGGGTGCCGTGCGCGCTCGCTGCATTGGCCTTCACACATACAGACACACACACACACACAGACACACACACACACACAGACACACACACACAGACACACACAGACAGACACACACAGACACACACAGACACAGACACAGACACACACACACACTCACTCACTCACTCACTCACTCAACTCACTTGTTTTCCTTCCGTGCTGCAGGCTGCCACGGGCGCCCCGTTTGCTGTCAGCGACAACCTCAAGGCGATGGACGCATAAGCGCTCCCCTCCCGTATTGATTTTTCCAACCACGGCACCACCAGACACCCACCCACCACCGTTGGTGTTGCTGCATCCAGCGTTGCAGCACATGCGCGTGCGTGTGCGTGGTGGCCGTGCGTGTTGCTTGTTGGTGTTTGTTTGTTGTCGTTCCCTCTTCGTAGTCGTGCATTTGTTTGCTGATGTTTTGTTTTCTGCTGACAGTTCAATACAGGACAGCGCAGGCTGTTCACGTATGGATGTTCATGGCAAGCAGTGTGATGTGCCGATATGTGACATGTGATACGATGTGGTGTGATGTGACCACCAGCCCAATACAGCAACCATCAAGCACAGAGATCAAGTATTGTTACAGCTGTACACAGCAAAGTCGCGCTGTTGTCGTAGCGTAACATGCTAAAAGAATCAGAGAGGGTGTTCGTGTGTTTGTGTGTGTGTGTGTGTGTGTGGTCACTAGAATGTGTCGATGCCAACAACAGACGCCGGCAGCTGATCCTCCAGGGCCTGAAAATGCCAGCAATCAGAGAAAAAGGAGGGCAGGGAGGGGTGTTTGGAAGGTTTGGTTAGAAGCAAGTGCGGGCAGTGGTGGCCAGGTTGGACGTGGTGAAGCACACAGACACAGATACACACAGACACAGACACAGACACAGACACAGACACAGACACAGACACAGACACAGACACAGACACACGCACACACACACACACACACCGATAGTCGACTTGACGCAAGAAGGAGCATCTTGAAGGTTCTCAGCCGATACCGCAGCGTGTCACGCGGGGTTAAACTGCGCTCAAACACGGACAGCTCATCCACCACCGTTGCCATGGAGCTTGTGCTACCCAGTGAACCCTGCCGCCTTCGCTGCTGTTGTTGTTCATGGCGGTGGTTCTGTGTGGGGATGCTGTCAGCACCTGGTGCTGTCATGTTGGATGTGTGTGTGTTCACACCAGGAGACGACAGCAGCGACTGAAGTTCCGCCTCCTCTCGCCCCTGCTGCTCGTCGCCATGTTGTTGTTGGTGCTGCTGTTGGTGTGCTTCTTGCGCGTGTGGTGTGTGGTTTGTGTGCTCGGTCGATTCGAGCGATTGCAATCGTTCTCGCAGCAGAGACGCTTCATCAACGGCATCTGGAAGGGACCAACGACCGCACATGTGTGTGAAAAGGAAAAAGGCCGAGGGGACGCACCAGCTACGCAAGCGAAGTAAGCGTGATACGCACACACAAGCGCAACAACAGCTCCATACTCACACATGCACACACACACACACACACACAGAGGGATAGCTCCACGCTCACGCATGCACTCACTCTCCCACTCTCCCACTCTCCCTCACACCCACACCCCCCCCCCCCACACACACACACATACACACACGTGATGGCAGTGTTGGCTGTACCGTTGAGGGCCTGCTTCATGTGCTGCTTATCATCCTGCATCTCCTCAAGCTCTCCTTGAACCAGCGCCAAGGTCTCCAGTTTGTCACTCAGGTCGTCCTACATCCAACCGCACACACGTGCAAACAAAACAAAACAAAACAAAACAAGAGGTGAGCAGACACATCGCAGGCATCGAACCGCTGTGCTTCTCTTAGAGTCACAGCAGCCAGCCATCAGCAAGTGTGCGTACCTGCAACTGCTGGATGGTGACCTCCTGTTGTCGCGTTGTTCGCTCCAGATCGTCCTGTGTGTCCTCGAGCTCGGTCACGCGCTTGCGGAGCTACACACCACCACCATAGCGCCAGTTACCGATATGCAGTCGTCACATAATAGTGAGGGTACACATGACAAAGGTGGCAGCGGCAGGTGCGAAATAACTAGAGCGACGACAGTAGCAAGGCCACATCTGGACAAATAGCAAGGGCTCAGCTTGACAAGCCACTTGGATGCTGCGCACGCACCGTCACACGCTCTTCTTCAAGCGACAGGACTTGGGATTTCAGCTTGGTCACGTCCGTCTGGCTCTGTTGCACCGTGCTGTCATACTTTGTCTGCAACATGGGTGACAACAGCCAGAGTAAGTTGACAAGAGCGAGGGAGGGAGAGAGAGAGAGTATGTGTGCGTGCGTGTGTGTATGCGTGTGCGTGTGCGCGTGCGTGTGTGTGTGCCAACACATGTGCTATGCGAGTGAGCAGATGCGTTGTCTACGGTTGCTTGGGCGCTGTGCATGAAACCACTGCACGCACCTTGATGTCCTGAAAGTCCCGTTCCAACTTTGCACGCCGTTGGCGTTCGTTCTTCAATTGACTGTGTGCCTGGAGCGCATTGCCATGATGAAAGGAAAACAAAGCAGGTTATTCATGTGTGCGTGTGAGTGCGTGCACTTGTGTGTGTGTGTGCTGTGTGCAAAGGTGCATGTGTTGTCATGTGTGCGTGTTCGTGTGTGTACGTGTGCTGTGTCACTCTGCAAATTATTGTTTATGTCACATTATGTCCACCACCAACCTGGTTCAACTCCTTCTCCAGCTCTTGCTTCATGGACTCTGTGTGGGCCTTCAGCTCCTCCAGCTCTGCCCTGAGCTGCGCCGCGTCCTCAGCCATGCTCACTCGCTGTTGTTGTTTGTTGCTTGGCCGCTCGAAGTTGGGAAGATTGTTTATGTGACGGCAAATACTCGACAATTAAACGGTTTTGGTGGGCGATGGTGGCGGTGAATGGTGGTGAGCATTGGGGTTGCTGAGAGTGTTGCGGTGGTTATGCTTTGAGTGCTTTGGCTTTTGCTTTGGATCTCCAGCTGCGGTGTTGAAGAGAACGATGGCGGCAAGGACGCCCGCAGCGGAGCACAGGAACGGGAAGCTGAGATGCGCCCCAAGCACCACGGCCGAGGTTGCTGTGGCCAACAGCATGGACACTGCAACGATAAATAACCTGAGAATGTTGCTGGCGTGCTGCAGATGGGCAGTTGGGGATGTGGAAGAAGTTGGGGATGTGGAAGAAGAGTTGCGTGTGTGTGTGTGTGTGTGTGTGTGTGTGTGTGTGTGTGTGTGTGTGCGTGCGTTCGTGTGTGTGTGTGTGCGTGCGTGTGTGTGGGTGTGTGGATGTGCGTGTGTGGATGTGTGTGTGTGTGTGTGTGTGTGTGTGTGTGTGTGTGTGTGTGTGGGCGTGTTTGTGTGTGCATGCGAAGAAAAGCAGATGTGAGGAAGGAGGGCGGGAGGAAGGCGCATTGGGGCGAGTTGGCATGGCAGAGCGTACAGCTATGGCAGACAACGATTCATCCAGGTACAAGTGGGGCCACAAAGGGAGCAATTAGGAACCAACGGACCCATACAAGCATACATGCAGCAAGTACACGCAGGGCGGGCACAGGGCAGAGGCCGAACATACGCAGAAACACATCCCTTCCCACTTACACACACACACATTCGCACGAAAACACACACACACACATATTCGCATAAACACACATTCGCACATTTGCACGCACACACACACACACACCTTGATGACGTAGCCGTAGATGATGCCGTTGATGGCTTGCGTGAGGATGATGGCCCACGTGAGGTCGGAGAAGCCGGTGAAGAAGTCCGCAGGCGAGTGCAGGGAGATGGCGGCCAGCACGGCGTTGATCACCGCGCCGCCGAAATAGAGCTTGATGCTCTGCACGAAAAATGGCTCTGGGTTGCGCTTCATAATCACCTCGCTATACACGCTGGCAAACCCGCTGTTGAAGCAATAAAGAAGCATGCCAACAACGCCAATCGGGGTGATGAACACGCTCGCCGGGTTCCATTCCGTCGCGTGCAGCTGAAACCCCGAGACGGTGTTCAGCGTACCTGGGAGAGAGGGTGTATCATAGGGAGTGGTGCAGTGTGGTGGAACAAGGGGAAGGAACAAACAAGGTGCTGGGTGAGCTTGGCGTTGCTTCAGCTACAGGGACACAGAGAAGCGGGGGAGGGGGGATCGTGAGTTTCAGCGTGCAGCTGTACTGAACACACACACACACACACACATATATACCCACACACCCACACACCCACACACACACACACACCCACACACCCACACACCCACACACACACGTGCCCACACCCACACACACACACACACACCCACACATACCCACACACACACGACATGCTCTCACCGGAGAGAAAGAGGATGAGGAGAGCCAGCCACTTGCGTGGCGTAAAGGTGCGCCTGAGCAAGAGATAGAAGCAGAGAACCGTGGTGACAGTCTTGAAGTTGCACAGCACTTGGAAGGTTGCCGAGTCCATGTGCCGCTGCAGCAAGATGGCTGCATTGTTATTCAAAGCATAGCACAGCGAGGGCACCTGTGAAGATGTGTGTGTGTGTGTGTGTGTGAAAGGGGAGGGGAAGGAAAGAAGTGGTTGTGAGAGGGTTTGTCGAAGGTAGCGCAATAGAAGGGGTCAAAAGCAGGGAGAGCGGCAGAAGAAGTCCAATGCGCATACAACAAAGAAAACACACGCATGACAACGCACACACACACAACAGACACCGCCACACACCACGACGGAAAAGCACAGCGTCCACCCTCTCCACACACACACACACACACACACACACACACACACACACACACACACACACACACACACACACACACACAACGACGCGCACGAGCGCGTACCAAGTAGACCCAATCTGAGGTGGACACGGACCACGTGCGACTGGAAAGGGAAAACGCAATGGAGATGAGCAGCTTGGTTGTCTCCTGGAGCAGAACAACGGATGCCGAGGAGAACGGAATGCGGCCTGTGTCGTCCTTGGTGAGCGCGAGCAAAAACGAATGTGTCCCCGTGATGGCCACAGCCACTGGCACACCGCCCACCAACGCCATGGATGCCATCCTGGAGTAGTTGGATGCGGGCCCAGCACCCAACACAAACACTCTAACGTAAAGCACAACAAGAACCAAGCAACGGGTGTCCGCCTTGCTTAGCAGCAGCAACAGCAACAGCAGCAGTGCTTTCAGTGGAGTGCTGACTGTTGATTTGATCTGCCAGGCTGCGTAACTTATTAACGCACGTGCAGTGTTGACATCATGTGGTGGCCCTCGTCAACAAAGCAACCAAGCAAGCAAGCAAGCAGACTCAAGCAACTCAAGCACACAACCTCAGCACACAACCTCAGCACACAACCTCAGCACTCAACACCTGGATTGGTTGGATGTCCGTTGCCGAGTCGGTTGTCCTCCCCACCGAATAATTTCGCGTTCTGGTCCTTGGTCGCGAAGTTCTACGATTTTCTTTCGTGAAGTTCAATAAATTTCCGCATTGCTGCCGCCTGCCTTCTTCGCGCACTTTTGATTCCTTGAGCCTTGTTGCTTGTTGATTGGTTGGTGCTGTTGCTTGCTGTGCGGTGTTTGTGTTTTGATTTGCGTGCGTGCGAGAGAGTTGGTGTTGCTGGCGTTTCTTCTTCTTCTTCTTCTTCTTCTTCTTCTTCTTGGTGGTGGTGTGATTGCTTGGAGGTGTGTTTGAGCGTTTGGTGTTTGGTGTTTGGTTGCGTGAGGAGCGGCTGACGCACTTCACATCCCTTCATTGCGTGGGCGCTGCACGTTCCAGACGGCCGCACGCCAGAGACGAAGAAGCAAGCAAGCAAGAAGTCCTTCTGTCTTTCTTTGTTCTGTGTCGTGGTGTTGGGAAACCGCGCTCTGCTTCCCACACCCAACAAACAAACATCACATCTCGTCATCGACAAGACTGCGTGCGACAGCCGGTGCGTGCCCTGACGCTGTCGTGGCCTCCTTGCGATCTGGTCCGGTTCTCGATGATGTGTTGGAATGCTTTGCTTGGTCATGTGTGTGTGTGTGTGTGTGTGTGTGTGTGTGTGTGTGTGTGTGTGTGTGCGTTGACGCAACCCAGCTCGGGAGTGTGGAGACCGAAAAGGGCGAGTTTGTCATCGACAACCTCGGAGAACTACTGGTTCGTTCAGAATGTCCATGTTTGCGCGCCCAAACGCCCTCCACGCCTGTGCTTGTGCCTTGTTGCGTTACACTTGCGCTGTACTCGGTCCGTTTGTCGATATGGTTTATGTTTGTGAGAGTATGTGTGTGTGTGAGTGTGTGTGTGTGTATGTGTTGTCGGCCACCCTGCTGTCGGTGCTGTCATCCTGCTGTCGGAGCTGGCATCCTGCTGCCTCCCTTTGCAAAGTGCTCGAGG